AGAATATAAGGATACTCCCCAGGGACAAGGGTATAAATGGAAAACAACATGACTGCAAGCCAAAATCAGAAGATCCTGAAATCAAATGGAGAAGTAAATATACAAAATACATTTTCTAGGGACAAGGGTAGAAATGGAACAACTACCTGTAATACGCGACACTGAAAAGTCTTTGGCGCATGTGGAAGTGAACTCAAAAGAACCAACAGAAGTTGTGAGTGCTCAAAGCGATGTTGTGAGTCATATAAGTTTAGTCCCTCATCTATTGTGGATGCATTTAACTGGTACAAAAAGATACTATTTTTTAGTTTGTTAAAAGGGGAAAAAAATTCCATATATACATACTGAATATACGTCATACCGAGGCGCCCAATAAAGCCAGGTAGGTATTTTTAGTCATAAGCCGGTTAGGTGCTGCCTGAAAAGCCCTTTGCAAAGCATAACGTAGAAGTGAAACTTTATCTTCAAACATAGAAGTTTAGGCGCTGCTTGAAATGCCCTTGCAACCTAAAATTAGAGTACATTACAAAAATGGTCTATGTGCTTTCTGATGTTTATCATGTTTGGTCCAAAGTTGGCGCATTTTCCAGTTATGGTCCTAATTTCAAGGTTTCATTTCGATTTTAGTCTTTATTTCAAGGTTCCAAGGACTGAAACTGTAAAAGAATTCAATTTTTGACTAAACATGGTTAACACAGGAACCATTTTGTAAGTTCCTGCCACTTCCTTGATCAAATAAGCATTAATATGTATCAACTGAAAACATAAACACACCTAATCAACCATCGATGAATTAACTTACATATATACACATAAATATATGTTCACACCTGGTTTGGAGTAAAGAAGGCCATGGGTAGGGGAATTAGCCCAGGGGAGGAATGCTCAATTGCATTCCTTCACATGCAATCACATTTAGAGCTTCACGCCCATAAAAATACCTCTCGATATTCAACTTGTCCTCATCTTGATGATCTAAAGTAGCATCAAACATATCAAACATATCAAACGAGTCACAAAAAACAGAGAACTATAAGAGCGTGAGGTGAGATTTTGTGAGGTGAGATTTGAGTAGGTGAAGTGTGAAGAAAGCTGTGGGGGCTAGGTTTCCTTTACGATTCAAGGGTTTGATGAATTGTGTTAATCGAATGATACAACCTAGGCGACAACTGCTTACTCTTTCATGGGACCTTAAACACCGAGCATACACCGGTGTTCAACGCTCTCATGATTACGACCTAGAAATCTGATTGTAGACACAGCGTTCTCCTGACCTTCTGGGGATCGAGAAATGAAGGAGAAGAAAATGTAGAGAGAGAAAGAAGTCTGAGAACCATTTAAAGAAGTTAACGAATTCAGATAAGAAATTAGGGCTCATATGAAGCGGTATCTCTTTCGTCGAGAACCCCTGAGGGTTTGATTTGTTCAAAAGATGGGATCATATTATGATTCTTTTGTGGGAAAAAAGAGTATTGGTGATGTTATTAAGGTTTTTTTAGGTATTAGAGTGAGAGAGATAGAGAGAGAGAAAGAGAGAGAGAGAGAGAGAGTGAGAGAGAGAGAGAAAGAGAGAGAGAGAGAGAGAGAGAGAGAAGAACGATGGAGATAAGGCAGAGGGTAACAATGGCGGCCTTTCAAACTTTTGGGATTTTCGTTTCCCCCCAGCTACAAAAGAAGAGAACGCGCCTTAAATTAAAAAAATATAAAGCGACATTTCTAGATGACACCCATTTTTAAATAAGTGCCCTCTGTGTTTTTTTTTGTCCGACATTAATTTTAGGGCACGCATAAAAGCATGTCCGTTATCCTTCAAATTTTTGAAGAGATAACATTATTTTTAGGGCACACGCTTTTGCGTATCGTAAATCACCGCGTGTCATTGTTTGCGCATCATTAAAGGGCTGTTTTCTAGTAGTGTTTATTTTCATAACATGTTAATTAATTCATGTATTGCTATTTATTAATAATATAATAAATCAATACATCATTCTCTTTCTCTCTCTCTCTCTCTCTCTCTCTCTCTCTCTCTCTCTTTCTTTCTCCCTCTCTATCTAAAAGTCATCATATTCAATTACTAGGTTTAAGGGTAATCCAAAAGAACATCACTAATAATTAAAGTATATACTAATCTATTTATTGGCTTAGATACCTAATTCAACAGTCTCCCACTTGGATAAATCAATAACTGTAATTACTAGTATAACTTCTAAATTAAACATCAAAGAGTGCTTCCATAGCAACTATCTATCTCTGAGTTAAACAATGAATTGTCCTATGATAAGTGATCAAATATTCATCCATTCTACTAGATATCATATTTACATGATATCTGGATTAGAATCAATATCATTGTACATCATCAAATCATCAAGGGACCCATAGATATCGCTTTTCCGGTTAGGGCAAAAGGAAGAAATAAAATTTGACCCATATGCTTGTATCATTTCCTCACCAAATAATACATAATACTGCGTTTTATAACATCAAGCTACTAATACGTCCTTGCAATAGCAATAGAAAACCAATTTGCAAATTATAAATCATATATCTCTATCTCAAAAGTATAAGATATTATCATCTTAGAATTACTCGTGGTATAATGCATGAAGTAATTCTTATAGTGTGGGTTTATCCAATACTCAAATCTCCATTTCTAGATACTCACGAATATAGTAGCAATACAATTTCTATGTTTAACTTCCTTAGAAAATCTACAATCCAATTAATGACATTCTTAATTCACTACTTAGTTCCCACAATATGAGTGACTGTGGAATTTGAATAATTAAATTATTTAAGAAGTAAAAACATTCAAAACGATACACAAGAATAAATAATTGACAACGCAGTAACAAATGTCATAAATAAACTATATTATTTAGTCAACAAATATTAATTGCATTTATTTTTGTTACAAGTTTTAAACTAATCTTCTGACTACTAAAACCAGTATCATCTCTCAAATCAATGCTTCTAGCATGATGATTAAGGTTAACCATGCTCAAAGCCTTTGTGAGAGGATCTGCAGGATTCTCTTCCGATGAAACTCTCTTCACAATATGGTGACCTTCTTCAACTCTATGTCTGATATAATGGTACTTTCTATTGATAATTATTGACTTGCCATGATTTCTCGGTTCTTTAGTCAAATCAATTGCTCCTTCATTATTGCAAAAAAAAAGTTTAATAGGCTCCAGAATGGTTGGAATTACTCCAAGATCTATGATAAAGTTTTTCAACCAAGTCGCTTCCTTTGATGCTTTACTTATTGCTGTGTACTGTGATTCACACGTAGAATTAACCAATGTGTCTTACTTGGAGCTTATCCAAGTAACTACTTCACCATTTAATGTAAATACTCATCCAGATTGAGATTGTGAGTTGTCTATGTCTGTTTGAAACTTGGCGTTGGTATACCATGTCACTCTTAATGTATTAGTGCCTCCAAAGACCAAAATCATATCCTTTGTCCTTCGCAGACACTTGAGAATGTTCTTAACTACTAAAAGTTTTAATGTAAATACTCATCCGAGGTTGACTCCACGTTGAGTATCAAATCCAATGCACATAGTAAGTAAAGTAACACAACCATTACATTACATAAGAAAAGTTTTACAATTGTTTCAAAAGTAAAGTTTGTACAGTTCTGATACATAGTATATATAAACAAAATGAAACGGATCTTCATGTACACCGTCTTCAAGCAAAAGGATCTTCGGGTACCTGTTCTAACGCTGACCTGAGAACACAAGCGGTTTGAAAATCAACATAAAGCTGGTGAGTTCATAAGCGGTTTTTGTTTGTGAAAATGTTTCCAATTTCCTTTCTGTTTCTGAAATGTTATGTATACCAAGAAAATCCCGTATTTTCTTAAAAGTTGGTTATTTTTTCACAAATGTAACATATAGTAAGTTTGTACACTGAAAACATGTCTAAACATGTGAAAATGTAAATTTTGGTTATCCAACTTGTTAAACTGTTCTGTTTACCTATCGTGTATTTCCAGGAAAGTCCCATACTTTCCTTATTGTATATTACCAATTGTAAAAGATGTAATGTTATCCAATTTGTTACTCTTTCTAGTTATGTAAGTGTAGGAAAGCCCCATGCTTTCCTGCACGTTGATTTCCAATATGAATGATGTAAAAGATGTAAAAGATGTAAACGTGGTTAGATTCCATGTTTTTCCCCAGGAAAGTCCCATACTTTCCTGAATGTTGGTTACCGTACGTGAAAGATGTAAAAGATGTAAAAATCGTAAAAGATGTATACAATGGTTCATTATTATTACTATAAGTAAATCTCTGTTATCCTAATTGCGAGTTCCATAACCATACGATAGACTGAAACCTGTGGCAATAAGTAGTCCACATGTGGTAATAAGTAGTCCACATACTTATGACTTTCGTCACCCTTGAACCATTTTAGTTCGGCTGTAGCTAGCAGCCAGGTGTGGGGTAGTTAGTCCCGTATAGATCTATACACTCAAGTCACGTTCTCTAAATACCAGAGATTCTGGTTACGGGTGTAGTCCTCCACTCGCGTATCTCTGTGGAGTGTTCGCCGAGGACGTGTCTCCAATCATACGGGATTAACAAATTTACTAGTAATAATGTGATAGTCCTCCACTCGCGTATATATGTGGAGTGTTACCGAGGACAAAACAGTGTACAGGTATTATATTCAAATGTATAATGTCATGCTTTTAACTGATAAAATGTGGAAAACCATTTGTGAAATATATGTAAAGCATAACAGTTTAAAAACCTATTTCACAAATATATGTTACGTGATCTGCATGTTCAAATGGTTATCAGTTGTGGTAATTAGTAATAAAAACATATGAATTATGAAACACACGTTTGAAAACATGTTTTGAGTACAAGAATTCCCTTGTACTTTGCTTGTGTTCCCCCCTGAAAACAGTGAAAACAGTGAAAAAGGGTAGGGGTATGAACTCACCGGACTCGGAAATGCGTTGGTTTTGGATACTAGACGTTGGTTCGGGGTTTGATTACTCGCGATGTTCCTATGTAAAATGAAATAATGTCCATATATATACAATTAGGGATACATTCACTAATCATATGGAACATTACACTCCAACGAGGTTAAACACCTCAAAACGAGCGTTTGGAGTGACCCGGGTGACATCTTCGGACGTGTAATAGCACTAGGGACTTGGGACTTGAGTTTACTAACCAAGAGTAAACATTTTAAGGAGTTTACAGCCACACAACACACCCACACATGAGTTTACAGCCGTAAACTCATGTTGGTGTGATTTTGAGTGTTTAATGGCTTAAATGGACATGGGGATTATTGGAATGGGTTTCTAAAATGCCTAGGAATGAATTAATGTGATTATACCACAAAGAAGGGAGTTTACGGCCATGGCCAAGAAAAATGGTTTGAGCTACAAACGACAATCACATGTGATTCTAGTTAATTTTCCAAGCCTTGTTATGAATT